AGAGAGAGAGAGAGAGAGAGAGAGAGAGAGAGAGAGAGAGAGAGAGAGAGAGAGAGAGGTGGGGGGAGAGACCATCTAAACTTAACCGAGAGTGTCCTGTGGTTTACGGCGTTCGTGTACAATCATTTTCATTACCCGTTAGCATAACTCGTAATACATATCAATTATATCACGCCGTTATTCTTTGACGAGGTTCGAAAAGACATATTTATGATACATTTCTGCCTTTACCTTGCTACACGTCAGTAGAGTCAGTAGAGTCAGTCTCGACAAGCAGCTAGGCGCATTGACCCAGCTAGATGTTAGCATAACTGGCCGCGGGTGTGGTTATTCAATTCTCTTCCAAGTCCGGCTAAATAAACGGTTGCCTATTTACGTTTAACGCCACACACACACACGCACACGCACACGCACACCCACACACACACGCGTCTTTGCGCCCCGCACGTAGTGCCAAGACCCGCACCCGGCTCGCGTCTCCATTCGTTCGGTGTATCAGATATTATCGTGACGTGTGTGTGTATGTTAATCAGCTTCAATATGCGAGCCGCCATTTTGTGAATGTGCGCAATTTGTCAAACATGGGTTGCTTGACGTGCGACGGTCGAGTGTATACTGTGATTGCAGCCGACATCTGTTTAGCGTGAGTTGCATGCACATTTTCCGTTGCCAATAGAGCTAATATGAGCGTTCCCGACATGTTCACAGGTATGTCTATGTTGGGTGAGGCAATCACAGAGGTATAGGAGCCGTGTTTCTGAACTCGTGCGATATTCATAATTTTATAATTTCCCCGATATTGCCATAGATTTCTTATCAGGTGGTTGCGTACAGTCGCACCGTCGATATAAATAATGATATATATATATATATCGATATGGATATAGATATATGCAGTTAGTATCGATATGAAATGTTTTATGTTCGTATGCTAACCCCATCTACGAATATGCTGTGTAGCGCCTCTGTATAAATTGTTGTCGAATTAAATGGTTCGATGCAACTTAAAATATTTGTGCCCGAACCCGAATAACACAGGTGCAATGTATTGCAAGAATTGTGTTAAGTACACCTGTGACAAATCCGTCGGTTTGTACAAATTATAGCACCTTTAAAATGACATACATAGGCCTATTATAATATTAATGAGATTGTAATCTGCAAATTTATGTTGACAATTGGTTTAAACAATTCCCCGTCCTAACTAAATTCGAAAGGTTAAAACTGACTGTATGAAATACGGATCCTACTCGGTTCGATGTGGATCAGTTAATTTATTTGAATGATTCTGTTATATATCCGACATCAGATCATCATGAAACGGATCATATACTTTGACACTCTTTAATCTTTAATTTATCAAACATTTCTCCTTAACATACATACATGAACACACACGCGCGCGCACACACACACACACACACACACACACACACACACACACACACACACACGCACACACACAGACATACAC